TCTTGATACCAGTCATTCTAACCGGTTTGGTAGTTGTAGTGTTAATTATATGCTTCATAAGTTAAGTAACCATGGAAATTTTCATATGCAATTGAAATGTTCTTAATATTCTTATGTTGTCGATCCTACTGAAATAATTATTTAGTATTTTTAACTATTATTTTAATAATTATTTAGGTTTTAAGCATTTATATATCATTAATTTAAAAAAAATTAACTTAAAGATTTAAGTTTTCTTTAATCAATTAATCAAAAAGACATAAGAATACGAATTTTCATGAGAATATTAATTAGTTTCTATTATTTCAATAATTATTAAGTTTTTAAGCATTTATATATCATAAATTTAAAAAAAATTAACTTAAAAATATTTAAGTTTTCATTATTAATCAATTAATCAAAAAGACGTAATTTTCATGAGAATATTAATTAGTTTCTATTATTTTAATAATTATTAAGGTTTTAAGCATTAATATATTATAAAATTTGAAAAAATTAACTTAAAGATTTAAGTTTTCGTTAATCAATTAATCAAAATGACATAAGAATACGAATTTTCATGAGAATATTAATTAGTTTCTATTATCTCAATAATTATTAAGGTTTTAAGCATTTATATATCATAAAATAAAAGAAATTAATTTAAACATTTAAGTTTTCCTTAATCAATTAATCAAAAAGACATAAGAATACGAATTTTCATGAGAATATTAATTAGTTTCTATTATTTTAATAATATTAAGGTTTTAAGCATTCATATATCATAAAATAAAAGAAATTAACTTAAAGATTTAAGTTTTCGTTATTAACATTTTCTTTAACTTCATATTTGAAGTTAAATCAAATGAACTATACCAATTAATCAAAAAGACATAAGAATACGAATTTTGATGAGGATATTAATTAGCTTCGAATTTTGGCCAGGTTTTCAAATTCATTCAGAATCAGATGAAAGAAATTCTATTCTTTAAATAACTTAGTTTCTCCTTGTTAATTTCATTAAAAAATTCCATATTAATTAATAATAACACTTGGATACATATTAAAATTTCGAAAAAAAAAAAACATTTATAGTTTCCTCGTCAATTCCGTTTGTTTATTTCGTCCCTCGTTCTGCCTCTGTAATCTCATTCAAAGCTGTCTTCATTCATACGTGAAGCCACTTTTCATTCATACCGGAGATAGGTTCATATTTTGCCACATTCATTCTAATTAAAACATCCATTTGCCGTGCTCGGCGTTGCGGTAGGAGATTGCAAATGCTAGAATGAATACCAATAGATTAGAGAATAAATTCAGTATATTCATTGTATGAATATCTAAACATGTATTTCTGTTTTTACGAAATGGGTTATTAACTCCTGTTGTTTCTAATAATAAAAGAAAATTTCTTAGCAAAATTTATACGTGGAAAGCTTCGAACAGCATTAACCGTAATTTTGAAGTTGCTTAACTCTTCACATTAGGAACGTTTCCTGCGACTCGACGGTTCAAGATAACGTACACTCCAGATTACTTGATTTTCTAGTTTGTACAACTTCGAGACAGTTTAACCCTTTTAGGAGCACATTTTTCATTCGAACAAATTATCAAAATCAAAGATTATTTAAAAGTTTTTGGCGGTCGCTAATTAAGATTCTGACGTCAGAATTGCAAAATTTATTTTTTGGAAAATTCAACAATTTTTTTCGAGAATAAAATGTAAACATTTTTTTCAGAACTTTTTGCAAGCTCGAAAAAAAATTTTTGAATTTTGCAATTCTGGCGTCAGAATCGTAATTAGCGGCCCCCAAAAATCTATGATTTCAATTATTCTGAAAAAAGGAGTTTTTTGTGTTTTAATTGTTAACAACTAGTCATAAGTAACCACATTTATTTCATAAAAATTATGTAACTTGAAAACCTAAGTGTCTAAAAAGTACTCACAAATTAATTCCGAATTAAAGAAAAATCTAAAAACAAAAAGCTGGTACAAATAGGTACCATTATCTCTGAAAGGGTTAAAGCAGGGTCACCAAACTTTAAGAAACGAGCCTGATTGAAATTTTCTAAAACATAGGGTTGGAACGAAAAATAATCCTATTAAAACATTAATTTACATTGCATGTGTAGTTTATATTGGAATTTATAATTGTAACATCCCAGGAAGAATTGAATTTTAGAATTATTGTTTTTCGTTTAAATTTATCACCATTATTACAATTTTAAACGAAAAATAATAATTCTAAAATTCAGTTCCTTGTGGGATGTTACATAATGGAAAATATATATTAAAATGTAAGTACCAAATCACAATAGAACAATAGAAGAATCGTTGTCGTGTGTTCACAAGGAAATCATAAAATTTTATAAAATTAACATTTCTTATATAAAGTATTTATAAATAAAAGTCGAAGGGGCCGAATGAAAATCTTTGAAGGGCCATAGTTTTGTGACTGATGGATTAAAGCAGACCTGTCTAACCTGCGGCCCCCGGGCCACTCGTGGCTTTTTCCCCCAGCACGAAACTCGCGTTCGGCTCCCCCCACTCTTCCAATATTTGACGCGTATCCCTAGTCCTAGCTGCTAGGAACCGATGCCTCACTACTGGATGGTGGGGAAGTCCGAAGCGGTAAGGATAGGAACACGGCTAGTAATTTAGTCGAGTGGCGAGTAGCTACTTACTATTAAACCGTTTAGCGCACAGAAAAGTGTCCGGATTAGTACAGTTGAGCTTTGGAAATTTAGAGTACAAGATATATCGTTTGACTAAAGAAATACGTTCGGACAAACCTGTTCGGAAGCCTAGGTAGTGGTAGGGGAAGCCTAGGTAGTGGTGGGGGAAGCCTAGGTAGTGGTGGGGGAAGCCTAGTTAGCGGTGGGAGAAGCATAGTTAGTGGTGGGGGAAACCTAGTTAGTGGTGGGGGAGCCTAGTTAGTGGTGGGGGAAGCCTAGTTAGTGGTGGGGGAAGCATAGTTAGTGGTGAGGGAAGCCTAGTTAGTGGTGGGGGAGTCTAGTTAGTGGTGGGGGAGCCTAGTTAACGGTGAGGGAAGCCTAGTTAGTGGTGGGGGAAGCCTAGTTAATGGTGGGAGAAGCATAGTTAGTGGTGGGGGAAACCTAGTTAATGGTGGGGGAGCCTAGTTAGTGGTGGGGGAAGCCTAGTTAGTGGTGGGGGTAGCATAGTTAGTGGTGAGGGAAGCCTTGTTAGTGGTGGGGGAGTCTAGTTAGTGGTGGGGGGAGCCTAGTTAACGGTGGGGGAAGCCTAGTTAACGGTGGGAGAAGCCTAGTTAGTGGTGAGGGAGCCTAGTTAACGGTGAGGGAGCCTAGTTAGCGGTGGGGGAAGCCTAGTTAGCGGTGGGGGAAGCCTAGTTAGCGGTGGGGGAAGCCTACTCGACCAGAAAAATCCAATGAAACGGATCTACTCGACTAAATCGTTTTACTAAACTACTCGACTAAACTGTAGTGTCCATACACTGAACTACTCGCCACTCGACTAAATTACTAGCCGTGTCTGAACCAGCCTTTAGACATGCCTGGCTTAAAGGATGACGACTCGATATTACACTCGTCTTCTTTATCCGTCCTCCTTAACAACTTGTTGCAAACATTTCTCTTTTTAATCTTTAAAGCGGAATTTATTTACAATCGAACAGCACCTCACAGTTTGCTGTTCGAAATGAAAATACGGTTGTTCGACCAATAACGCGATCGATCGAACAGACTCGGTTAGTAAGAACGATCGTTCCATTGTAAATTTTCCTCGTGGCTGGAATTTTCCTTGTCCACGAAGTTTCTCCATTATCAGACCCTCTTTTCCGTCGCCCGTTCGGAATTTCTGTTCGGAAATTTTCTTTCGATAGAGTTTTATTACTGAACAAATCGCCTTGTAATTAGATTGTTCCTGTTTTCCTTGTTACCCAGCTTTGTCGTACTTCAGTCGTACTTTTTATGTCCTTCCTCAAAGATTTACTATTTTTAATTGTTCTCAGTGATAAATATGCATAGGTACACCGAAGTAGCTATATTTGTAAAATACTTGAAAAACAATATCAGTAGGTGCTCATCAATATTGATGATATATAGGGTGATCAAAAAGTATATCTATAAACTATTTCTTTATACCACACGTTTAAAACTTAAGTACCTAATTATCAATCGCATCATCGGTACACCTTTGAAAAATACCCCTTTTCAATTTTTTCTAACGATACTAACACAGAATGATCCCCAACCCAGAAATTCCAAAAATTATGAAACTTTGTGAATATGTAGGGGATGTCCTCCTGATTAAAACGCAATTTTCATTTGCTGCCCCTTTTCAGTCTAAAGGGGTGAAAATCGTTTCACGTGTTTTTTTTTCTTCTTTTTCTTCGAAATCGTTGAATATCTCGAAAAACTTTTTTGGCAAAAATTGTTCGTCCTAATGTATGGTATTTTTTCATATTAAAGCAAGAAATTATAAACAAAAATGATTAAAAATAATCACTTGCAAAACACAAAAAACTGGTTTTTTTAGAATAAATTCGATTATTCTTGAAGGAAAAGTCCTACAGCTCTGAAAATTTTTGTGCATATATTCTATACCTAGTATTATAACATATATTTTTTTCAGAATTTTTCGCATGCCAATTTTCTCCAGAGAAATTTTTGAATTTTCCCCTCTTCCCCTCGATATTTTCCTTTTCTCAGACTAGGAGGATTATTAATCGTGGCTGTGAAAATTGAATTTTTCAATTCTGACGTCAGGACCTCCAAAAACCTTTAGATAGCCTTTTTTTCAATAATTTGTTCGGAAGAAAAATGTGTCCCTCAAAGGGTTAATCGAAAGGACCTCCTCTAAACATTCACAAAGTTTCATAATTTTTTGAAATAGAGCCATTCCTTCGGGCTACCCGGTACGTATACTTTAGATGAATATGTAGATCGTCGAGCATAAATGGGTTAAGTGAAATCGATGCGGTTAGGAAAGAAGAAAAAATAAGATACGTATGTACATAAATAAAGTATTGAAGTGTACTTGCCTGTGGCGAGTCCATAAGCAGTGGGGCTGTGAGATCAGCCTCCTCGTCGGTTTCCGGGAAGATTGGGCTGTCGTTTAACACCGTCGTCAACATGTTCACCGTCGACACTGTCACCAACAGTAGAAACGCTGTCTCGACCAGAGAACATTTAGTCATCGGTTGACAGTTCAGTATACTGGAGCCAAGAGGTAATAAAATCGCGGCTCTAGCACAGTCGACCATCGCTTGGTGGAACAGCAATCCTTGGGACCATCTGCATACCACATACATTTTGTTGAATATATTTAACTTACAGAGGTAGAGAGGTAGTTTGGTACAGAAGAAGGACGATTAATTCGATTTATTTCAATTTTTATTGATAAATAAAATTGAAATTAATTTTACTTATAGGTAAATCAATTTTCTTGAAAATTTTTTAATTTATTAATCCATAAAATTCTTAGTTAATGTAAATTCTTTATTTTGATTTGAATTTCCTTAAAATTTTAACTAATATTTAACATAAAATCTTAAAACAATAATTCAAAAATTTGCTTTCCTATCGTGGATCATCGAATTAGTATACAAGTACTCCTCAGATTTTATATAATTGCCATATCTTATAATTTTTTAATTTATTAATTCATAAAATTCTTAGTTAATGTAATTCATATTATATAATAAATTCTTTATTTTGATTTGAATTTCTTTAAAATTTTAACTCTAATATTTAATATAAAATCTTAAAACAATAATACAAAAATTTGCTTTCCTATCGTGGATCATCGAATATACAAGTACTCCTCAAATTTTATATAATCACCATATCTTATCATTTTTAAATTTATTAATTCATAAAATTCTTAGTTAATGTAATTCATATTATCTAATAAATTCTTTATTTTGATGTGAATTTCCTTAAAATTTTATTAGTCTTTCTAAATTAGTCTAAAATTTTATATAACCGTCATATCTTATAATTTTAATGTTTTACATTTAATAATTAAACTTATTTTTAATTAATGCAATAGGATATCTAATCCTAGTTTTTACCTTTAATTCTTATAAATCTTTCCCTTTAACTTTTTAGCTTAATGGAGCTGTGCCTTCTTTTTTAAAGTGCGTTTTAGATCTGTAATTTCACTCCAAAATATTGATATTTGGAGAGTTACTGAAAAAATATGATTATATTAATACAATTCAAATATTAATTCAAGTATCGCAAAAGCATGAAAAACAGAATTTTTCAAGCTATTAATCGTAACAGAAATTTAATTTATTGTCAGTTTTAGTATTATTACAAGTGCCGTTATTGTTATTTATAATTATCAGCTGATAATTTATAGAAATATATGAATAAGTGCGGTTATATGCTGAAACGCTAAAAAATTGGAATTCTGACTATAATTTTTTGACAAATTATGACAAATTTATGAAACTTTCCAAAAATCCCTTAATTTGGATGCTTTATTATATTAGGTGTACAAATTAATTCGGTGCCATTAGTATCACGCCTTCTTAATTAATATTTTTAATTTGAATATTTTCTCGCAGTTTTGAACATTTAAAAAGTAACAAGACAACATAACAACAATAAAGATTATTTCAATAATTGGAATTACTATAGCTCTTCAAAAATAAATCTTTAATTAAAATTAAAAAAAGGCACCGAATTAATTTGTACTCCTAATATTTCTAGTAACTCTCAAAATATCCCCAAATATTTCAGAGTGAGACAACATAACAATAATAAAGATTATTTCAATAATTGGAATTACTATAGCTCTTCAAAAATAAATCTTTAATTAAAATTAAAAAAAGGCACCGAATTAATTTGTACTCCTAATATTTCTAGTAACTCTCAAAATATCCCCAAATATTTCAGAGTGAGACAACATAACAATAATAAAGATTATTTCAATAATTGGAATTACTATAGCTCTTCAAAAATAAATCTTTAATTAAAATAAAAAAAGGCACCGAATTAATCTGTACACCTAGTATGTCTAGTAACTCTCAAAATATCCCCAAATATTTCAGAGTGAGACAACATAACAACAATAAAGATTATTTCAATAATTGGAATTACTATAGCTATTTAATAAAAAAAAGGCACCAAATTAATTTGTACACCTAGTATTTCTAGTAACTCTCAAAATATCCCCAAATATTTCAGAGTGAGACAACATAACAACAATAAAGATTATTTCAATAATTAAAATTACTATAGCTATTTAATAAAAAAAAGGCACCGAATTAATTTGTACACCTAGTATTTCTAGTAACTCTCAAAATATCCCCAAATATTTCAGAATGAGGTTATAAACCTAAAACACACTTTATCCAACTGTGCTAAAGTCAATTCCCTAATTCGATTCTCTCACGAAATATCCAATTACCCAGGTGTATCTCTAGTATCCGAATCAATAGGTCTACGAGTAAATCTTTCATTGTAATCACCTTCGTAACTGCCGTTTGGTTAGGATCAATGCCATCAATAGAAAGTTAGCACCCATCCCGAGGGCACCCAGGCTGAATATCAGCGTCGCTTCGGTCGCTCCACCTGGATGACACTGAAATACCTTGGTCGCGTTCGACGACACGTTACCGGATGCGCCGATTCCGAACCTCAGATTGGCCCCTATCATCGCCATCAATTCACCTGTTCGACAAATCATTTCCATCTATTATCTGGATGTTCCTTCGCGTAAAACAGTTCGCGATCGATCACCCTAGGGAGACGTCCGTAGCCGGGACGTTCGATGCATCTATTTTTATTATTTTTTACATCGATGCCTTTTAATTACTTTTTTTTTAAATTTTCAATTTCAATTTTTCTGGGAGATTGATGGGTCAATTAAAAGTTACTAGGGAGTTTGCTTTCTGTAGTGAAAATTGTTCAGCTAGTTGTAAGATGGACAGTGATTCAGGGGATTTAGGGGATTATTCCCTAGATCGAAGGGAACGTAAAAGGAATAGTGTTTATGTAGCTTTCTTAGACCGCAAATAGAGCAACTTGGAATCGAGTAACCGCGAGTGGAGCGGTAGTCAGTGAAACAACCGCAAGTAGTACAGCTCGATAGATACTGCCACTTCGTTTCCGCCTCGCTAAACGATACAGTGCTCAGTGTGTTGAGTAATATGGATATTCGGGAAAAAAATCATAACTTAAAAATTAATTAGTTTTTGACTAAAGTACCTTAAAATACAAAGTTGGATTGATTAGTAAATGAAAAAATACACATTACTATTCCTTGCCTTTTTAATAGATAAAATTTGTTGTGTAATCATTTTTTCTACTTTTTTCAATTTAGCGAAAATTTTTCGAGTTCTAACAAACATTTTGCTTATGTAAATTTCCAGAGGAAGGAATTACAATCTTTCCTCCTATTTAACTAAAAAATAATGTTCAATTAATTGATAGGTACTATAAGATTTCATTGTCTTCATTTATACGGTCATTATAAGGATTTTCATTATTTCCTCCTTTTCGTGCAATTTTGTGCAATTAAATTTCATGTGAATTTAAAGTTTAATATACAAAATTGCAAGGAAGTACCTTTTGGTACTTTTTTTAAAAACTCAAATTGGGGCAAATTGTTAATATTGCAATGTTTGAAAAATGCACCGATTTTTGGAGTAAATTTCATCCCACAATTTTAATAATAAATTAATATATTTAGTCAAATTTATTAATCACGTTACAAGTTATATTCTGTTATTAATTTTTTTAACAGAAAAAGGTCTGTAGATCTTACACTTTGAATTTCTGATTTTTTTCCATTTGACAAACTGTGTATTTCGAGCAACACACGAGAATAAATCATGATTTTTTTTTTTTCTTTAAACATATCTTTGTAGCTTAGCTGGTTCGTGATACTTTCCATTGAAAGCTCGAAACACTTGCTGGCGAATAAAAAGGAAAATTCAGCGCACGAGATGTGCATCCATCCCTGGATTTTTCCACCTTCGATCTCTTTACGAGAGCCTATTTTCCGATGCACTGGCTATACCTTTTTTACAGTTCCGCGAAGGGCATGGAAATTTCTCTAGTATGTATTCTAGAGCATACTCTTTCCTTGCTTACACGTGATCTTGTTTCCCACTGCGCCAATGGAATATCCTTTATTCATTTTTATCTCTTTCCTTGTTGTTTTTTCAAATAAACCGTGTTGCGTGATCTACATCACGGTTGACCTCCTTCCTTCCTTATTTCGTCGCATTTCGATGCTGGTATCTCGTTGAACATCATTAATTTCTCACAAAATCACCGAAATTTCATAATTAATAATTCCATTTTAATTGCAATTAAATTAACAGCCAGGCGAGCCTTAATCGGTGTACACTGTATTTTATTTCGAACTAGTCTGAATTATGGAAAAAGGGAAATGTAAATTTACATGGAATATTCATGACGTTGTATGAATACAGAAACGAAGAACGATGAATAATTACCGGTGCGAAGAAAACAAAGGAATTATCGATGATCATAAATCATACATGCAGAGAGGAAGCTTTGATTTTCTGAAAGCTATTTATCTACAGAATTATTCATCATTTTATATTAAACAAGATAGTCAGGGAGGTTTACAGTTGTCCTATTAACGATATTCAAATTTTATTTATAGCCCACTAAATGCTCCTCATTTTTTTAATTATCAAATGGAAATTTTCCCCAAAAATAGAAACGTAGATACACAAAGGGTACATTTAATCATATATTCGCTTTCGAACGACCACAACCGTTTACCTTTTATTCAGAGCAGTAGACGGGGTAAGCCGAGCGTTTGCTTAGCAAAGGGTTGCGCGATTCTTTCAAAGGTACAGCAAGAAAAAAAAAAAATATCAACTCCGGTGACCGAGCTGTAAAAACGAAGAAATTTTCGACGGTCGTGGTTTGGAGAGTTTCAAGGAGAATTTTTTGTCATACGAACGAAGAAGAAAAGGGACAGCAATGACATCCGTGGGAAATTAAAGCGGATCCTTAAAATGGTACTCGCTCTGGCATAGTCGAAAGTTCAGTTTTTTGGAATTTTAAACAGTTGCCTGCCCTAGTTGTGACGATTAATGACGGTGTTTCCGAATGGCCGCACCAAAATTGAGCACTCAGGTTCGGTATGTAACCTTAATTGACTACAAGAAACCGATTAAAGTTGGTTTCAGAACTGGATGTCTTACCGTTTTCGAGATATCGTGATAAGGTTAGATTAGATTAAGTTAGGTTCTGTGCACACTATTGAATAGCGCATGCGCAGTATCGAATAGCGCATGCGCAGTATCGAGTAGCGCATGCGCAGTATCGAACAGCGCATCCGTAGTCCCAAAATTGTACACAAATTTCTTACCACGATATCTCAAAAACGGTAGGACATCCAACTCTGAAACCAATTATAATCGGTTTCTAGTAGGCAATTTAGGTTATATACCGAACCTGATTTCTCAATTATGCTAGGGACATTCGGAAACTATACAAATAGTACAAAATTGTACCATGATATCTCAAAAACGGCAAGACATCCAGCTCTGAAACCAATTTTAATCGGTTTCTAATAGTCAATTTAGATTATATACCGAACCTGAGTTCTCAATTTTCGTGGGGCCACTGGGAAACTTATCCCGGTTAATTTTCAAATTCCAAGCCCTCCGAACGATTTTAGATGTAATTTCGCCATTTTCCATGCGAAACTGACTTTCTTATCTACGATGCTTCGTGCATCGAATCTAAATCGAAATCTGATGCAAAAAGAGGAAAAAAAATTGCCCCATGCTGGAAACGCTTTAAAAAGGCTCGAAGTATTCTGTTGAAACTTTGTATTTCTAAACAGAATATTGTACATCTTATTAAAAAATAAATAGCGTTATATCGTACGAAGTTATTATTGATCAGAGTAGCGTTTGCAGAAGTATCAGATATAAATGGACGAGTAAATCAAATATTTAATCGCAACTCCGGAAACTTTCACGACGAAGTAGACAAGAAAACGAAACGAACCTCGATTCTTCTATATCGCTTGGAAAGTTTCGAAAGTTATCGGAATTTGATGCATCGGAAGAACTGGAAATTTCGCAGAAATTTCAAAGGGAAGAAGAATTACATTTTGACAAATTTAGTAAGAATATTCGAATGGAACAAGGATATAAATTTCCACGAAGATATTTTCAAACGGGAAGTTAAACAGTCTGGCAGGATTTCTTTTTCTAGAAAAAAAAAATTTCACTTTGTACTAAAGGGAAGACAAGAAAAATTTTGTCGATGGCTTTCTTTTTTTTCCTTTCCCTCAAAGGATCGAGGAAATTGGGCTGCAAAGAGGCCGTCGCGAATTTCTCTGTAGTACTTTTCCAAAGGGATCCGATATCCAGCCACTCTTAAGATCCTTTCAGGATCCTTCAAAAGGATATAATCGATTCACCTTCCTTCTTTTCACTTCCACACGTCGTAAACTCTTGCAGTTTCCACCTCTTTATTTTTCCCATCTCCAGCCGTTTATGAATTTCAATTATCCTCGACAGTTTCGCACCTATGATTACATGATCGAACGATTGAATAATAAATCTAGGGTATTTGGTTTTCCTGGTAAAAATCTAACGATACGTAGTAATAATAAAAAGAAGAGCATTGCAATTTCCAATTAACGAGCTATCCAAATTGGCGGATAAAAGAGTTGGATATTGCTGGGCTTTCTCTCTGACAAATTGACCGATTTCAGTGAAAATTGTCGGTGCTATGCGGAAATAAATCCACGGTTGTACCGGTGGTGGTCGTTGGAAGTGTGGCCTTTTCCCAGGAGGAGGGAGGGGTCACGAGGGGATGGCTATCGCCCCGGGCATGAAACTCTCCCCGTTGCCACGGCTATTTTCGTTTAGATTTAGATGTTCCCGTTATGAATGAGAGAACCACCGACCTGCCAGCTAACCGTTAACATCTTCATCGTTTGAAAAACTCTGCCAGTTTAATGGAACACTCGTCGAACAAAGTTGGTCTATACTATGCGATCGTGATCAAACTGGCCATTATGCGTTACGAATATTGATGAAACATTTCAAATAGCCATTAGAACGTAGGAAAGAACCTAGAGTTATGTGCAACCAATATATACGTGTCACCTTTTGCCTCTCCGCTTTATAGCTCTAAAATTTTACTCCCTGGTTGTTTTTGTAGTAAATCGTAGTAAATCCGCCATCTTGAATTTCGAAAATCTAATTTCTGATTCGTAATCAGCGACCCCATAAACTCCTATGTTCAAAATTTCACAGTATTAGCGATATTTTCTATCTTTAGTCCGTCATATTGGATTCGCCATCTTGAATTTTGAAAATCTGATTTCAGATTCGTAATCACCTCACCCAAAAACCCTTATATTCAAAATTGCACATTATTAGCGATATTTTCCATTTTTTAGTCCGCCATATTAAATCCGCCATCTTGAATTTTGACAATCTGGTTTCAAATTTGTAATCACCTACCCCAAAATCCCCTATATTCAAAATTTCACAGCGTTAGCGATGTTTTCTATTTTTTAGTCCGCCATATTGAATCCGCCATCTTGAATTTTGACAATCTGGTTCCAAATTTGTAATCACCTACACCAAAATCCCCTATATTCAAAATTTCACAGCGTTAGGGATGTTTTTTATTTATTAGTCCGCCATATTGAATCCGCC